CTTAAAACAAAAATTAAATCGCTCTATTTTTGGTCTGTTCGGGGCCTAATTCAAAGTGAATTAAAACTGAATTAAGAGATATGATTGGTGTTGCTAAGTAGAAACACCAATCATATCTCTTAATTCCATTTTAATTCACTTTGAATTAGTCGGTCTGTTCGGGGCCTTATTTGAGCTGTTTTTTCGGCTGAGCGTTCATATATTCGACGAATGAAAATTGAAATATAAAACGTGGCCAATCAATATGCCGCACCCGTTACTTGTACTGGAATGTATCCTATCATGTCACAGTTCATGTTATCTCTCATTAATGAAAAGTCTTAGAAAAAAATAGAATGAAAGACCTATTAGATATGATCGACTGATTATAGTTGAAAGAAGCGTCTTTTTTTTTATCCTAGTAGAAGTTTGTATTATTAAAAACAACAAGTCAATTATGAAATGCATAAATATTTATTATACTTTTTGGAAAAAAGCTAGAATAAAAACATCGGTTGCTGTCTAACTTGAAAAATGCTGGATTACATAACAAATAAAAATTAGAAAAAAAGATTTAATAAAAAGCACAAAATGATTATTTAGTAATTTTAATTTTTGATTCATTAGTTGTTAATTGCACAGCTTTGCCTGATTTTGATCAAGAATCAGCTCCTTTTGTATCTTCAATATCAGGTCGTAAACGTTTCTTTTCTTCTGTTTAAATCTTATAGTATTCATCACGTTGATGTACTAAATCTTCATTCAATTGTCTATCTTGTATAAATGCATCATATTAATTGTGGAACGCCAAGTGGAAGTGAATCATCACGATCAATTTGCCACGCTAGTAATAGACAAGCATTTCTTAAACTTTTTATTCTGCCAATCATTGAGAACTTACTATGAAAAGTTTTTCCATAAGTATGAATTAACTCTTTCATTACTTCTTTTTCAACAATATTTGGTACACCTAATGCCGCCACTAACGCACCACTTTTAACTTCATATACATGTGAATGCTATAGTTCGTTTTTTTTTCTTCTGAGGATAGTTGATTAACAAAGGTCTTCGGAAATAATATATTCAACACCAATAAGACATACATCTGGACGATCACTATTCATAAATAATACATTGACGAACATCTTGATTTAAATGTGAACAATAATGATGAGCAATGAATTGACAATTAAGTTGACCTATATAAAAGGTAACAAAAGAAATTATTAAATAAATTTATTTACCAGAATAAAAATGAAAACTACATACATATTGATGAATGGCATTTACTGGAGCAAAATGACCCTAAATATAAAGATCATTTTCTAGCTCTTGACTAAGTAAAATATACGTACTGCCATTCGAGCATCCATATCAAGAATATGTCCTGCGATGATAAAAACAAAACAAAAAAACAATGATTCCTACTTGAAATCATTCATTTATCATTAGTACCTGTAATAGACATCTTTGATCCAGGGATTTTTTTCACCATGTTGATGTCCATTCGATACTGTAGTCCATTGTAAGATTTTCGCAGCACCAATATCTGCTCCAAATGCTAATGCATAATCTAACAACGTCTGCATATATATCTGCAATTCGATATGATGATATGTATATGTTGTCTCTTTCTTCCAATAATCGATCCATAAATGAAAAAAAAAGAAAGAAACAAAAACAACTGTACATTTTGAACACATACACACACATTATGAACACAAAAAGTCTTTATCTATTTTCTTTTTTTTTAATGAGCTGTTGTTTTATATAAAAGATGTCCTGCTACTGAACCTCGTTCATTTAAACTCGTTCGTAATCGATTTTCTTTTTCAACAAGTTCTTCAAAATGCATTAACTAAAATAATTATAAAAAATATCACATTAATAAAATGAAATAAAAATACTTCATGCAATCGTTCAAGATCAATTTGAGCATGTCGTTTTCTATCCTATTTAAAATATTTTGAACATAATCGTTTTGAAGTTGTACATAATTTATTTGATATTTCAAATAAATTTTTTTTCTAATGAACATCCACATGCTTCATCTGGACTAACTTATTATTCATATCATTTGAATAATAGAAAAAAATAAGTAAATAAATTTTACTTTTGGATCACGTGAATGTTCTGAAAAAATAACTTTAAGTCGTTTGCAATAAAGATTATTTGTACGATCATAATTATCACAAAATAAACCTTCAATATTCGATTTAACATTTGATCCATATGATACTTGACTTTCAAACTGAAAAAAAAAGACTATTAAAAAATTTTGTTTCGATTGAATTTTTTTTTACTGGAATAAAACATTTATCAATATGACATGTATAAGATTTTTGATTAACTTCTTGATTACATAAAATACAAAAACACATACCATCAGGTTCATCATTAGTAGTATCAATTTTCTAAAATAAAAAAAAAAAGAAAATATTGTGGTTTTTTTTGTATAGAATAATAATAAATATATTTACATTAGTATCTTTAATTGCTTTTAATTGTTTTCCTTGTTGAATAATTTCATCTAATTTTTGTTATCGTTCATCAAGTATAGATAATTGTTTTTTTTTTATTTCCTCAATTTTGATTCGAATTTCGTCAATTGCTGTTTTATTTAGAGTATTAGCAACTGAAGGAATTGTTTGTCATTGCATTAAACGCATTGGAAGAAACTGAAGAAGACGACTAAGAAAAATAAATAAGATAGATAAATGTCAATAAATGAATAAATTCAACATACTTTCGAGCTAATTCTAGACCACATTTATCTGAACAGTATTTTGATGAAGGTCGTGCTTCTAACATACATCTTGGTCCATAACATTGACGAGCTGTATTTTCAATGATACGACAACGACGACATCTAGTGCTAAGGTTTTGCATATCTTCCTAAACAAACAATTCAAGATTGATCTGTTTTTAAAACAACAAAAAACAAAAGACTAACTTCATCGTTCAGTTCTGATTGTGGTTCTCGTTTAATCAAAACAATTGTACCACTACTACTGGTATCTTTCTTTCGCTTTTCACTATTTCTAGAGCTATTACTAGTAATTTTTGTCATTAATCCATGTTTTGTTGTGCCTAATGAATTTTTATTCGATTGTTCTTGTTCATCATGTGAGATTAAAGTTTCATATTGTACTGATTGAACATCGGTTGATCGAGATATTACATAATTATTTCCATGTAATAATTGTTGTTGTCTAAAAATTGGATTTGTTGTTGTTGATGATGATGATGATGATGAATCTGATTGATTACTTGTTGAATCATTATTAATAAATTGACTCATACTACTTGAATGTTCTCGATTCTTTTTATCATTCTAATTTAAAAGAAATAAATAAATTTTTCATATTTGATTTATTGTTTAACTTATAATTGATGTTTCATTTTGTTTTAATGAAGGATTTAATAATTCTACTTCTTTTATTAATTATTTCTAAATTAAATTTCATAGAAGAAAAAAAAACAAAC